TGGATGACTTTCATGGTCTAAGCTATAAATGCACAAACAAACATTGGATAAAGTTTTTCAAGGTTTCCAAGCCTGAAGCAAATCATTAGGGTTGATCTTATCAAAAACAATAACCAAATGAAGACTCTCACTTTCTAAGGGAGCTTTTACTTCACATAAATAGGGAGGAAAAACAAAATTGCATTTGGTGGAGTCATGGGCAAGAAGAAACTTAAAAAATGATTTATAAGTACAAACTCCTGAAAATCGAGGGTCTATATTCTGTAACCAGGGCCAGAGATGGGGGGAAAAAGAGTTCAACAAAGCGTCAAAGACAAAATCTAATGATTCCCAATCACTGGATTTACCATCAGGTCCACCACAGTGGTAAAGATTATACACACACACACATATATATATAATAATCAAATTTACAGTTTAACAAGTAAACATACTAAATTTTTGACATATTAAATTAGATAATATAATCAGTTTTCTTTATCTCATCTCTTCCACTCTCATTATCTCCTTCTCTGTCTCAAAGACTAACACCTCCAGCACGTCTAATGCAGCAGAAGATTGTTATTACTTAATACACGCCCCTTAATGCACAAGCCACCAAGCTGAAAGTATGAACTAATTATGGCTCCAACATACTTTATGCAAAATTAAATTAAATTTAATATAAATGGTACTATAGAGATGCATATTAAATAACATGGTTCAACCAATTGCCCCAAAACTTTGAGTTAATAGGAAATAACCTAATAAATTACTTATATTTTACCAACAATATTTACAAAATTACCTAAATGAAAAGACAAATAAACCACAAAAAAGTAACTTTTGTTCAAACAAACCAGAAAAATTTAGAGGCCTTAAGGAGGGTTCAACTATTATTGCAGTATTGCTATAATGGAATTCAATTTTTTCTTCTTTTCAGTAAAGAAACTGAAGGAATTGACAACAAATTTAATTCACCATTATTGCACTATTCATAAAACGGAATTCCAGTTTTTCTTTTTTTCAGTAAGAAACTGAAGGAATTAAGAAAAACTTAATTAGATTAAAATAGTAAATCAAATTTCATGCATATATTGTCCAACATCTAATTCTTCATGGTGTCGATCAGCCAAAATACCAATCACAAATTGGAAAATATTATGATCACAGTTTAAATGCCTTCTGATTTGAGAATCAGAAAGGCTTTGGCTTTTGGGAGAGTATTTTCTTCCTGTCATCTTTCTTGTTTTAAAGCACACAACCCACATTCTGTGTCTTTCTCCTTTATTTTTGTTCTATACCTTAAAATCCTAATGCAAGAGAAGTTTTCTCTCTCTTTTATAAGCGAATTTGAAAAATCCAATTGCCTAGGCAGTTGTTTTCTCTCATCCAGATCAAATTCACCCATGGCATATACGACCTGGTGCAATTCCCAAAATGAACTCAATAGGCTGTCCATGCCTAAGCAATTAACTAATATGGAAATATCCTCAAGTAACTAAAAGAAAAATTGCATGTCAATCAATAAGTAACCAGTTGAAATTGAAACAATCAAGTTATATCAATGATTTCGGGAACCAACCTGACGAGAGATATCGAATTGAGCAAGTATAACTTCTGCAGCCTTCAAGGTTCTATCTATGTTCTCATGAGCTTTCCTTATGGCATGCGTTCTTACCTGTAAAACCAAAAACCAACGGACATCTTAAAATGAAACATTGAGAAGGGTTCTAGACCGATGAGCTCAAGAGACAAACATGAGCTATTTCTTACAAAACCAGATCCGTGGTTCAGTTGCCAAGAAAATGAAGGAGAACTGTTATAAACAAAAGGCCTATTTTACTATTTTTGTTTCCCAAAAATGATAACAGAAAATGAATGTATAACATTTTCATAGGATCCCCCGTTCAGTTGCGGAGAAGATGAAGGAAAACTGTAATAAGCACACTTTAATAATAAGTAAAATTTGAAGTTCAAACCACGACTTCTCTCAATTTCCGGCGCTCTTTCATTTTCCTACATCTTCGAATCCGATTCTTAAGGGAGAATAAAAAAATCAAGCCAAAAGTAAAACAAACAGTAGTGAACTATCATCGGTAAACAGAGGAATAGTACGAAGTTGAGAATCCATGCTTGATTTTAGTTTGTTCTAACAATCTCTTTCGGAAACCAACCGGAAAAGAGCATAAAATGAAAGACTGAGAAGTACCTGAGTAGGACGCATGGCCGTCTCGAGAGCAGATAGTCGGCTATCAAAGGAGCCAAGAATTGATACAACGTTGTCTGTGATGGTTTGGCTCTTCTGCAGAGACTCTCTCATCATTGCTGCTCTCTCGCTCAGCGATTCCATGCCCACCACTGCTACCCCCATCTTTCTTCCTCCTTCACTATCCTCTGCCTTTTTTCCTCCTTATCAGACAAATCAAAGCAGCCTCTCCCTCTGTTGTACTTGCAACTGATTTGAATAATTGATCAATTTGATCTGTCAAAGAAAAAGTTTTAAAAAATAAATATAAAAATAATAAATAAAGCTGGAGACTAGCAAGGACGCCTGTTTGACATTTCTTGGTGAGACACGCATATCCGTCTTGGCATTTGACAGGCTGTAACCGTAGGTCTCCTTATTACAGGTGAAATTTAGAGCATGAAAAGAATTAATTATTAATTATATAAGAAAATAATAATAAATAATTAAGACATGATAACCTTTTTATTTTTGAGTTAATAATTTTAACTTAATTTTTATTTTCTATTTCTTCTCAAAAATTTATTAAATATAAATTGATGATTTTGCTTAATGGATTATTTTAGTTAAGAAAAATAAATTGATATTATTACATAAGACGCATATTTTAGTTATAAGATATAATATTTAAATTTTTTGTAAATTTATGAATTTTTTATGTGACAATAAATTTATTTCTTTTAAAACATAATAATATTATTATTTTTTTTAATTACATGAGTTTTATTTTAAAAAAATTAATTGTAAATTACAAGTTTTAAACAAAAATAAAAATTAAAAAATCTGATAAGATTCAAATGCATTTATTTTTTG